GGAATCCAGGGGGAGCTAGCCAATTGGATACAAAATTGGCTTGAGGATAGGAGACAATTGTCCTTCAGGCTGTGACCAGTGGTGCACTGCAAGGATCAGTGCTGCGTCCACTGCTTTTCGTCATTTACGTAAGTGACTTGGATGCGAATATAGGAGGTATAGTTAGAAAGTTTGCATATGACAGCATTGGTGGTGAAGTGGACAGTGCAGAAGATTATCTCAGAGTACAATGTGACTTTGATCAGATGGACCAATGGGTTGAAGAGTGGCAGATAGAGTTTAATTTCAATAAACAGGAGGTGTTGCATTTTTGTACGGCAAATCAGGGCAGGACTTATGCACTTAATGGTAGGGTCCCAGGGTGTGCTGCCAACAAAGAGACCTAGGTATGCAGATGCAAAGTTCCTTGAAAGTGAAGGAGTTGCAGGTAAACAGGGTGGTGAAGGCAGCATCTGGCACGCTCGCCTTCATTGGTCAGTGCACCGAGTCCAGGAGTTAATTTCATGTTGCGGCTGTGCAGGATATTGGAAAGGCCACTTTTAGAATACTGCATTCAAATTAGGAAAGATGTTGTTAAACTTGAAAGGGTTCAGAGAAGATTTACAAGTACGTTGTCAGGATTGGAGCTAAACGGAGAGGCTGGATAGACTGGGATTTTTCTTCCCAAGTGTCAGAGGCTGAGGGGTGACCCTACAGAGGTTTATAAAATCACGAGGGGCATGGATAGGGTGAATAGCCAAGGTCTTTCTCCCAGGGTAGGGGGTCCAAAACTAGAGGTCATAGGTTTAAGGTGAGAAGGGAAAGATTTAAAAGGGATCTGAGGGGGCAACTTTTTCATGTAAAGGACGATGCATGTATGGAACGAGCTGCCAGAGGAAGTGGTGGAGGCGGGTACAAATATGACATTTAAAAGGCAACTGGATGGGGACATGAATAGTTAAGGTTTAGAGGAATATGGGCCAAATGCTGGCAAATAGACCTAGATCAGTTTAGGATATCTGGTCGGCATGGATGAGTTGGACCAAAAGATCGGTTTCTATGGTGTATAACTATGACTCTACTTGCTGACCAATCAGAAACATTTTCCTCCTGTAACACAAACTGTTGTAATAGTTTGAAATTACCATTTTTGCATTTGTCCTCAAGTTCAAAACAAATAACTACAGCAACATGTCTCTTGTTTCAGCAACAGTAAGCACGTGGAGAAGCAGGAATTAATCAAGAAGAGTCAGCATTGTTTTGTTAAGAGAAGATAATGTCTGACCAACGTGACTGAATTTTTTGAAACAAGTAACCAGATGTGTAGGTGGAGGCAATGTATGTGACGTAGTCTGGTTGGACTGCAGCATTGCTTTTGATAAGGCCCCACATGGAAGATTGATAACAAAGGTCAATGTCCATGGAATCCAAGGAAACTTGGCAAATTGGTTCTAGAATTGGAGAGTGGCAGGAAGCTGAGGGTGATAGTCAAGGTGTTTTTGAGACTGGTTGGGTTCCCCACATATGAATGTGGGGGCCATTGCTGTTTGTAGTACATGTAAATAATTTAGATGAATCTAGAAGGGTTGATCAGTAAGTTGAGGGTGATGCTAAAATTGGTAGGGTGGTAAATAGTGAGGAGGATAGCTGTAGATTATAGGACATTATAGGTGAATACAGATGAGCTGGTTGGCTGGGATGATCAGTGGCAAATGGAATTCAATCTGGATAAATGTGAGATGACACTTTTGATAAACAAGGCAAGGGAATAAGATGTGATGAAGGGTAGGACCCTGGCAAGCACTGGGGATCTGATGCATCTTGACGTGCGTGTCCAGCGATCCCTTAATGCAGTGGTACAGGTGGATCACGTAGTTACGAAGGCATATGGGATACTTGCCTTTCAATTGTGTGTGTGTGTGTGTGTTTGGGGGGGGTGGGGGCAGTAGTTCTGGAATCCACATTATAAAGGAGGTACATAGGAAGTTTGCGATGATGTTGCTGGGCTGGAAAGTTTTAATTATGAAGGGATTGGATAGACTAGGGTTGTTTTCCTTGGATCATGGACACTGAGCAGGGTTATGATTGATACGTATACAATTATGGGGGCATAGACAGGGTTGATGGGGAAAAATACTTTTCCCCTTGATGGAGGGATCAATGACCAGAATGCATGAATTTAAGGTAAGGTGCAGGTGGTTTAGACGAGATGCATGGAAATATCTTTTAACCCAGAGGGTGCTGGGAATCAAACTCACTGCCTGTAAAGGGCAGAAGAGGCCTCATAACATAAACTGTATTTTGATGTTCAATTGTGATGCCCAGGCATTCAAGGCAATGGGTCAAGTACTGGAAAAATGAATTAGAATAGTTAGCTGGTTGTTTTTGACTAGTACTGAGCTGATGGGCCGCAGTACCCTTTTACATGTAGACTTCTATCACATTAGACATCAAAAGATTAATTGACCCTCAAAATGATCATGTATAATTTACAGATATATTCATTCTTTCAAATGATCAAGCGTATAAGTAGTAGTCTGAAACACTGAACATCAAATACAATTCAGGACATCTTTGCCATTTTAACTGCAGCTGCTTCAATGGGATGTAGCACTAAAGAACCAGACAAATAGCAACTGGAATAATTTCAATTACTGTATTAGATATTGCTATTTTTTCTGCATATATGATTTTCTCCCCCCAATCCCTGAAACACAAAGGGATTATAAAAAACAAAAACTGTTAAATCATCTTTCTTGAGTTTACATTTTTTAAAAAAGTGCTATCTAGTATAGTACACTGTCAATTAATTTGCATACAGTAAAAAGAGTCACAGGTAAGGTTTTTGTGAGGTAACATTGGTTAATGAACAGAAATGAGCTAGATACCAAGAGAATGTTACTGAGATTACGTATGGATAGTGCTACTGTACATTTTACGTCCACTTGAAAATGAGGCCTAGCATTAGTGTCTCAGCCTCTGCCATTCCACAACTCATCAGCCTAGGTTTTGTACTCAACTAAGATTTTAAGGCTTTTTTTATTGTTTGAATCCATAGTCTACTGACTCAGAGGTGTGCGCTCTCTCAGTCATGACTGATAGCTTGGAACACAAGTGGTCAGGAAAACAACTATACACAGAGATTTTGATTATGTGCACCATGAACATAACTAAAAAAAGTAGTCACAGACTCACTTTACTTACGAACAGTTAGTTTTAGGCTTAAACTGCAAAAAGACCAAATGCTTTGAGCAGTTAAAGGTTCTACCATTGTTTCATTTAAAAATTTAGTATGAAATTAGCTCACACAGAAACTTAGCATGCTCTTTCTTTATGCATCCTTTTGGGGAAGTCCACAGAAGTTAATTTATCACAACCTGTCCAAGCTTTTAGCTCAATCTCTAGAAATTTACTTTAAGCAGTAACGAACTGTGGAAAGGATTAGCAGGCAGGTTAATTTCTCCTTGGTGCCGGCATCGTAGGTAGTATGGGCTTGTCAAAGCTTGTCCACTCCTTATTTCTACGTACCTTTTGTTGTCTTTTTATTTTCATTCTTCATCTTAGAGGCCGGAGTGGTGTCAGTGGGGTGGTGGCTGCAGTGTCGGCGGTGTGAATCGGGACTCCTGGTGGCGTAGGTTTGGAGCCTGGACTCTTGGCGGCAGCAGGGCTGGGAGTTTGGACTCTTGGTGGTAGTGGTAGGCCTAAAACATGGATTCCTTGCGGACTCAGATGGTAGCAGAGCCAGAGTCTCCTGGGGCATTAGCGCCATCATTGCTGTTCTCACAGCAGGACTCCTTAAGGTCTGGAACACCTACCAGAAACCTTGTACAGCCGTGCTTGAGACCCAATTCGAACGGAAGATGAACTTTTATTTAAGGAATTTCTTTTTATAGCTCAAAATGGCACTGGATTGTGGTGACAAAATATTTATCACTGTATCTTCAAGATACATGTGACAATAAAATCATCCATTCATTTATTACATGAGCTGTAATTTAACAGTTCATCAAGCTAGATGAAACATGTCCAACTGCTTTGGCATAACAGGGTACTGTTGCACTTACATGGTCTTAGACACCACACACTCACACACTCACACACTCACACACTCACACACTCACACACTCACACACTCACACACTCACACACTCACACAGTACAAATAAACCTGCAATGGGCCATTCAAATGAAAACAAACATTCAATGTCCCAACTAATAACTAAACTCCGAATTTCCTATGAAGACTTTTCAGTACACTACAATTAATTCCACAACTCTTTCATAAAAATCTGGGACATCTAGATGTTCTCCCACAGAAGAGAAATTTGTTTTCTCCTCTTGACGTCCTCCAAAAGACCTATAAACATTCTCATCTGGAAAGCAAGGACCATGCTTAAATTCTGGACAGAAGTAAGCACACTAAATAAATAAGCTCTGTAATATAAGTATCTGTCAGATCTTTCAGCACATCCTTTGTTATTGTACATTTCAAATAAATTGTCAATACACTGAATTTACTGACCACTTTTTACAGCATTATTCAAAACTAGAAGCAACAAACTTGTGGGGAAATCAATGTCGTGACCGAATTACCAGACTCTCCTTTACAATTCATCTTTACATACCTCTACTTGCTGCTCATGTTTTGTTATAAAAATCCATGCACAAAGCTACAAACAGTTCATACTTCAAATAAAAAAGTTACTGAATAAAATAATCTTTTCAATGCCTTGGACATGGTACAAACCGACTGAAAATAAGTGAAGAGTTTTAAAAAAAATAAAAATCTTCCAAAACAGTTATCTGTTTTTCAGCGTAATCTGCATATTTGAAGGTTATAAAAAGTGTCACTATAAGATATAAAATGTGTTTTCTCACAAATCCATGTTTTGTGAAAAATTGTGGTACAATTTTTCACTACCTGGTGCAGATTGAAGTGACAACAGTTCACAAAGCACCACTTGTGCTATCTGTTATTCATAACACCGAAAGAAGATCAAGAATCAATAGGTCCTTCCCACCTCTGGTTGCAATGTGGATGCAGATCTAGCAAAACTTTATTATTGCGAGAAGGCTCCACTGCATTCAACACTATCTCTGAAGAAATAGGATATTCAAAACGCTCCATCATTTGAATGATCTTCTCACGTGGAACTCGATGCTTATTCCTCCTAAAAGAGAGAGGGTAGTTTATCATTAAACATTGAAAACCATTTAAACAAGACTTAACTCCATTTATAGTTATTGTTGGAGATATAACAGTGCCAAAGATTCATTTACAGACCGCACTGGCGTGTTTTTCTATGCAACTTGCCAGAGGAAGGATATACTTGCCATACAGGGAATACTGCAGAGATTCACCAAACTGATTTCTGAGATGGTGGGACTGTCCTAGGAGAACAGATTGAGGACACTGTAACCCCTGGGATTTGGAACAATAAGAGATCTCAGAAATCTACAAAAATTCTTACCAAAATAGAAAGAGAGGGGTTTGGACTCAGGGAACAGAGTCGCTGAATAAAAGACAAGCCGTTTAAGACGGAGATGAGGAGGAACTCCTTCATAGAGGTTAATATCTCTTCGAAATTCTTTAACTCAAAAGGGCTATGGAAGCTCAATGATGAAATTCAAGACAGAGATTGATAGACTTCTAGTCACTCATGACATCAAGCGATGTGGAATAGCATGGGAATATGGCATTGGAGGTAAATGATCTAGAATGGCAGAGCATGCTTGAGAGTCTACTGCTGCTCGTATGTTCCTATGACCCTAGTTTATAGGGAGCTGAGCAAAGCAGAGGAAGAACACCTATACAGTTTCTTTAGAAACAACAGTTACCCAAAAAGCATAGTCCTCCGATACCTACACAACTGGAAGACTCAACACGTTCACAGACACTAGTCACTCTACCGTACATTAAGGACATATCTGAAATGACCACCAGATTACTCCATCCCCTATGAATCATGGAAGCCCACAAACCAACAGCTATACTTGGACAGCTACACTATGACAGCTACTCATGAGAACAAGGGATACGACAACCACAACTAACAGAACCAACATTATTTACAAGATACTATGGAACGACTGCCAAAAACATTATATAGGGCAAACCAGAAGGAAACTAGCCATCAGGATTCACGAACAACAACTAGCCACCAAGAGACATGACCGACTATCACACATTTCAATACATGGACAAAGAGGGACACCAATTCGACTGGGACAACGTAGCCACCATAGGATAAGCCAAGCGAAGACACGCACTAGAATTCCTGGAGGCCTGGCACTCAAACCGGAACTCCATTAACAAACATATACAGCTGGACCCCATATACTAATCATGAAGAAACAAATCTGGAAGAGATGCCACCCACCCCAGCAAACTGAGACACACAAATAGCAAGCAGTACACCGACTCTTCACCGGAAGTGCACTGATGATGTTACCTAGCATGGTGATGAAAGGTCTGCGAACAAACTTAACAGCTCGGTGAACAAGTCAACAACCACAATATTCATTCGACATTCAAATGATGCCAGTGGCTATGTTGAAATTAAACAACGATACAAAAATTTTGGACTTGTTCTTCTTCATACCTTTAATTTTTCTCACCATATTGTGATTCTACTTTTATTATGTTGTATTCAATTCTGAATGAATGGGAAAGTAACTTAAAACACTCCTAGAGGTACAAGAACAGGTCAGATGGCTAGTTCTTCAGTAATAGCTCTGCTTGTCTCTCCATCTCTGGAATTACTTTTGATAACCTAAAGATACTTCAGGAAAGCTGAGAGGCAACAACATGAACTTGTTTAAGGCAACATTAAAGAGATATGCTTTAAAGCATTTGAAAGGAAACAGATTGTCAAGCAGAAAAGTTTTGGCAATGAGTTTCAATGTTCAGGTGAATTACTGAAGTTCAGTGAAACAACACTATGCATTAAAATGAACAAGGATGGCAAGTCAAGTTGATGCACTGAAGGTTGATCAACCAATAGAGATCAGCGTTGGGTACGGAAGGCCTGACATTGTACGGGATAAAAATATCATGGTTCTAAAGTTGTTGAAATTTGTGAGAATAAACTTCAGAGGTTGTCAATGAGAGTACCGAACAAATACAACCTCAAATAATACTGCAGACAAATAAACAAATATGGTGCTGAGTAATTGAAGGAGGTGGAGATGGTCATGTAGGAACACAGTTACACAGAACTGGGTGATCTTGGTGGCAGATATACAACACCAGGAAGATAAAAAGATTATAGAAATTGAAGACAGTTATTCAGCTCATAACCTACTCCACAATTCTGGTATCAACAGTGGTTCCATCTCTTCAATTCTAATTCCCTCCTCATCTCGTACCAATATTTTCAGGTAATAACTAAATCACAGAAGACTTGAGATCACATAAAATGAATATTAGGGAAGAGGAATGTGTATAAGATGCCATGTGTATAATGTGAATGAAATAAGGCACCTCAAGTTGGTAAAAACTCTGACTTGGGTTGCAGTCAGTGCAACATGAAAGCAGTGCAGGTCAGCAGAAAAGAAGTGAAACTGCATAACTTCTACATACAAGATATCTGTTTCATTACATGAATGGTCAAGTGAAAGTATATTCATGAGAAAGGAGAGATAAAGGATGAAGCCTAGGCAACTGTGCAAGTACATTGCTGAGCTGAAAGATGCGATCGGAAATGACATAATGATTAAGGTGGGATACAGGATTGGAACTGTGAACTGCACAAATTAAGAAACCACAGATGACCTCTCATCCAAATAAATGCACTGCTGGAAACAGTTGGGCTGGCTGCGTCTGTGGAAAGAGAAACAGCATCAACATCGTAATCTTTGACTTTTCATCAGACCACTAATGTCTAATTCTGAAGAATCATACTAGACTTGAAACATTAACTCTATTTCTGTTTCTACAGATAGTGCAAGACCTGCTGAATTTCTGCCTTTTTGTCCAGTGCGATATAATTCAAGCTTTTCTTGTTTAACAAATGCTTTATTCGATTGTTGAAAGTATGATTGCATTTAAAAAATATCAACCAATCTCCACGGTCGGAAAACAGAAGTTTTCATTCTGGGATCTGACTTGCCCAAGTATTAACATCAACTGGCACCATAACGATAAAACTTTTACAAAGGGAACTTTGTTCATTTTAAAAACTACCGACAAGGATTAGAGTGGAATAAAATAAATTTCATCCACAGCATTGTCGGAATCTAGAGCTCAATGTGTTAGAAGGTTGCAGAAGTAGAAGTCTTCATCACAATTTTTAAAAATTG